GGAGACTCACCGCTCCGCCGGCTCCCGGCGTGGACGCGCCACTTCCCCTGCGCATCATACCGCTGGGGCCGGAGGTGGTGGTGCTTGAGCCCAACACAATGGCGCCGCCCATGCCCTCGGCGCCGGCGTTGGGCGATCGGATGGTGATCGCGCCGCTGGTGGTGGCCGTCCTCTCGCCGCTGGTGATGGTCACCGATCCTCCGATGTCTGCGGGCACCTCACCTGCCGCCAACTCGACCAGACCACCCTCGCCGGTGTTTCCGTTGCCCATCGTCAGGTTCAGATCACCTCGGGTGCCCCCCAGAGCGGCGCCGCTACAATGTACCGTTTCGGACGGCGGCGGTGTTTCCCGACGTGGTAGAGCCGGACGTGAAGGTCATGACACGGCCATGGCCCGTTGGTCAGGCGTTGGCGGGGACAATGGTGACGGTACGATGTTCCCGTCCGTCACGGCCCCGCTCGATGCAACGACAAGGTCACCACTGAACACAACACATCTCGCTGTCATGATCAAGTCGCCGCCGTCAGTCCCTTCTTCACCCGCCGTCACCGTGGTCTGCGCGCCCGCCAACAATGCCACCGTGAAGGATCCCCCCGTCGACCCTGCACCCGCCGCCAGACTCCCCGAACAGGCCGTAGGTTGGTGCCGGTTCCGGGCACTATCGATATAGAGCCGCCTGTCACGTCCGTGCCGGTCGCCAACAACATAGGTGTGCCGCCGGTGGTGTAGCGGTGGTGCCCACCGTGAGACTCACCGCTCCGCCGCCTCCCGGCGTGGCCGTGCCACTTCCGATGAGCACCGAACCGCTGGAGCCGGAGCTGATGGTACCCGAGCTCAGCGCAACGGCCCCGCTCACGTCCTAGGTAGCAGGCGTTGGGCGATCGCATGGTGATCGCGCCGCTGGTGGTCACCGTGCCCTCACCGCTGGTGATCGTCACCGATCCTTCGGTGGCCGCGGTCGACTCGCCGGCCACCACCTCGACCAGACCGCCCTCGCCGGTGTATCCACGGCCACCATCAGGTTCAGTTCGCCTCCGGTGCCCCCCAGAGCGGCGCCGCTGCCGATCGCGATGGCGGCGGTGTTTCCAAACGCGGTTGTGCCAGAGCTATAGGTCGGACACGGCTGGGGCCCGTTGGTCCGGCGTTGTCGGAGACGATGGTGACGGTGTCGTTGTTCCTGGTGGTGACGACCCCGCTCGACACAGCAACAGGTCCACGACCAGTGTCTCCGGTGCAGCTACCATGGTCATTGCACCCCGGATAGCTTGACCGCTTGTCCCTGCTGATATACACAGGTAACAGTCCATCATACTCACGTCACCACACGCAATGTGTCTACCGCCCGCCGTCACCGTGATCGCTCCGCCCGTTGATGATGTGTCCTGCCCGGCCACAACCATGAACGATCCACCCGTCGACCCTGCGTCCGCCGCCAGATAAATCGACCTGCCGGTGGACGTGGTGCCGGTTCCGGTCGTCATACACACAGAACCACCCCGTCATCCCTGTGCCGGCCGTCGACGTGAGTGTCCCGCCCCCGGTGTAGGCGCTGGTGCACACCGGGAGACTCACCGCTCCGCCGGCTCCCGGGGTGGCCGCGCCACTTCCCCTGCGCATCATACCGCTGGTGTCGGAGGTTGTGATGCCTGAGTCCAACACAACCGCACCGCTCACGCCCTCGGCGATGGCGTTGGGCGATCGGATGGTGATCGCGCCGCTGGTGGCCGCCGTGCTCTCGCCGCTGGTGATGGTCACCGATCCTCCGGTGGCCGCGGGCACCTCACCTGCCGCCAACTCGACCGGACCGCCCTCGCTGGTGTTCCGCTACCCACCGTCAGGTTCAGATCACTTCAGGTGCCCCCCAGATCGGCGCCGCTACAATGTACCGTTTCGGACGGCGGCGGTGTTTCCTGGCGTGGTAGGGTCGGAGGTGAAGGTCATGACACGGCAATGGCCCGTTGGTCTGGCGCTGGTGAAGACGATGGTGACGGTGGCATTGTTCCCGTCCGTCACGGCCCCGCTCTACGCAGCAACAAGATCATCGCTGAAACCTACTCATTTAGCCGCCATCATCAAGTCGCCGCCGTCGGTCGCTTCTTCACCCGCCGTCACCGTGGTCTGCGCGCCCATGGACGATATCACCGTGAGCAATCCACCCTTCGACCCTGCGCCCGCCGCCAGACTCCCCGACCAGCCTGTAGTTGTTTGGTGCCGGTTCCGGGCAACATCGACCCAGAACCACTGTCCACGCGCGTGCCGGCCGCCAACATTAGTGTCCCGCTCGTGCCGTAGGGACCGGTGCCCGCCGTGAGACTCACCGCTCCACCGGCTCCCGGAGGGCAGCGAAACTTCCCGTGCGCATCATACCGCTGGTGCCGGCGCTGGTGGTGCCTTGGCCTAACAAAATGGCGCCTCTCACGCCGTCGGCGCCGGCGTTGGGCGATCGCATGGTCATCGCGCCGCTGGTGGTCGCCGTGCCCTCACCGCTGGTGATGATCACCGATCTCCCGATGGCCTCGTTCGACTCACCGGCTTCAATCTCGACCGGACCGCCCTTACCAGTGTATCCGCTGCCCACCGTCAGGTTGACGTCACCTCCGGTGTTCCCAAGAGTGGCGCCGCGATCATGACGGCGCTGGTGTTTCCCGACGTGGTAGTGCCAGTGCTGAAGGTCATGACACGGCTATGACCCGTTGGTCCGGCGCTGGCGGAGACGATGATAACGGCCCCGCTGTTCCCGGTCGTGACGGCCCCACTTGACACACTAACAAGGCTATGGTCGATTCGACGCCGTTCTCCCCTCCTTCACCCGCCGCCAGCGTGATCACCCCGCCAGTCGATCCTGCGCCCGCAACCAAACTCACCGACCCGCCTGTAGACGTGGTGCCGGTTCCGGCCGCCGTCGACGCAGGACTGCCCGTCATGGCCGTCATGCCCATGCCGGACGCCAACGAGGGCGTCCCGCCCGTGCCGTAGGAGCTGGGGCCCACCGTGAGACTCACCGCTCCGCTAGCTTACGGCGTGGCCGCGCCACCTCCGATGAGGACCGTACCGCTGGTGACGGAGCTGATGGTGCCCGAGCTCAGCACATTTGCGCTTTTCCCGTTTTCATCTTTACCACCTATTCCTCATGCTTGTTGTGGCAGGAACTATCGTGCTCAGCCTTCCTTCCCTACAGAAAACACAAGGAGCGACGACCCGAACGGGCCAAATTCGAGTGGAAGACGACAAGACAGTCAGTATGGTGCACCAAAAATCGTCCCGGGTGGGGATCCAACAAATCACCTTGGAATATGTACTTGTAATTGTGAGAGCGGTACATAGTTGTTGTGGTATGCACTCACGGACTCCGAGCAGACGGTGGCGGCGGCGGAAACGAAACATCAGCATTCCACCACTACCTTTGAAAGAAATTTTTCACCTCCCTAAAAGCTGCTCTCCTCCGCACAACCAAAATAAAATCAAAATCGACGCACAGCACCAGGTTACAACCGGTTGCAACCGTGCCCTGTGGCAACGTGTGACAACCATGGGCGGAGACGCGATCCTTAGACCACGCAGCAGCAACCCGCCAAGACCGAAAATTGACCACCAGCCCTTTGATCCACACCTATTTACCTGAAAGTCCGTGCCCCTCGTGCAAATCATGCGCCGTAGGGTTGGTGCAACGACGTATCTCACTTCACCAGCCGTGGTGCGACGAGGAGGGTGCGGTACAAAGAGGATTTTGGAGGGCTCCCGGCCAAGGATGTTGGTGGACGTGGAGGTGGAGGTGTACTCTGCCGGACGGAAATTGGCAAGGTCTTTGTCGTGGAGATCGGTAGCGCGCGCAAAGAACGACTACCGGAAATTAAAAGGGAGTGCGGACGTCACAGAGGTAGCCGTGGCCGCATCCCATCTTCCTCCCCTGGCAAACACCATGGAACACCACCGTTAACGTCGCCGGGAGGCGCGCGACGCAACGGGTCGACACCAGTAGGCCTCAAAAGGCGTAGGAGCCTGAGTATCGCGGTACAGCTGGAGTGAGGCGGCGGTACGCCGGGCAGGTGGTGACGGGGTGAGATCACAGGTGTGGCCAGGGTGTGATAGAAAGATGGTCTTGGAGGTATTCCCGGCGGGTGGTGGTGGGGTGGTGGTGGGAGGTGTTTTTTTT